AGGTCTGGCCTGACCTGACCCACGAAGGTTCCAGCAACTGCTGGGAACTACAGCCCAGAAGGGTGGAATAATCTTTGCCCACGAGGGACAGGAAAAGAGAAAGGGGCTTATTGTCTCTGACTTATTTTCAAATGATTCAGAGACAGCAAAAATGAATCTAGGTAAAGGGTATATGAGAGCTTCTTAAACTATTCTGGCAACACTTTAAATTTTAAATTATATAAAAATTAAAGTTATAAAACATTCATTCATTTCATTAAAAGTTCACTTCCATAAAAGTCTGCATTAATTAGGAGATGCAATAAAATGTTCAAAGAATTATGCAAACTTTGAACAAGCACTGAACAAGCAAAGAATGCATATGCTGAAGCCGTACTGTGGGCAAGCAGAAACCAGCACTAGACAACAGTTCAGAACAGCCCTTGATCAGCTTATGCGCCTGAGGCCAGGTGTGATAGGTCATGTGCAGTGTATGAGTAGACGCTGCACAAAGTAAAATGCATGAGAGTCAGGGGCACCTGTGATCTGTTCATGTACGGAGCACAGATCCTCTTATGAATCCTGAATCTGTGCATGGCTGGAGAGTACTGTCCCCCGTGACCCCAGGGCAGCTGCAAATGGCAGCTGAGATATTATTTCTCCTTAAGCACAGGTGTCTCCCCTTAGCATGGAACTTTCCATTTCTACTAGGATACAAGGAGGAACGTTGGTAGACATAGAAACCTCTGTGATACACACTTCCTGAATGCAAGTCATTGATAGTCAAGCTATGCATCTTTCAATTCAGGCTATCTAGGGACATGCACATATTTTGTTTATCTTATGGTCATGACTATAGTATTTCAGCATTTGACATTGCAAGTTGAACTCGTGTTTAATGCAGGAACTCTGGGGAAATTTGACTGATAGGCTAGATTGTTAATATTTTTAAGGAAGAGCTCACAGTGCTCAGATTGGACTCAAAACAGTGGAAATTCTCTCCAAGTAAATGTGTAAGTAGCGAGTGTCTACAAACCGAGCAACTCACCAAGCACTCCACAGGACAGGAGCCCTCTCTGAGTGAGTAATCTTGGCTTTGGTTCATGCTCCTCCTGACCTACTAAATTGTACAAGGGTATCGGTCACTAAAAGCTAAAATTAACACTTCGTGGGGCTTGCCAGCGAGTTCTGATATCTCCACTGGAAACTCTCCATGTTCTTGTGGCAGACCAATATCCACTGGTGTCGCCATGGGAAACAATTAAGATTTGAGTTCCCTGCCTTGGTTTTCCCAGCCATTGCCATGTGATGACCCTGCTCTGGGCACATTGACTTAACAAATATTTACTGGGCATCCACTGTGTGCCTGGTATAATGCTGGGCGCTGGGGTAAAGAGGTGCATAGGACAGACAGAGAACACACCCTGGAGTCAGGCTGGCTTTGGTTTCAAAAGTCATCTAGATTCCAGACAGTGGAAGAGCTCCTAGTGAAAGCAGCACTCCACACCAGTTTAGTGAGAGCTGGATTCAATCCCAGCTCTGTCCTTTACCAGCCATGTGGTCATTTAGAATCTGTGGTCACTTAGAAATGGCCAGGAAAGAAGCAGCAGCAGCTGAAATGGGAGAGTGAAAGTTCTTCTCTTTTTTCAAATCAGTTTGTAACTTAAATATATGAAAGTTACAAACTGATTTTAAAAATCTGTTTAAAGCATACACGTCTTAAGCATACAGCTTGATGAGTTTTTCACATGAATCCCATGTAACCGCCACCTGGATCAAGATATAGAATATTTACAACACCCCAGTAGATATAAGTTTTAAAGTGAAAATACCAAAAGTCAAATCTCGGGACGTATGTCAGGGTTACCACAATCAGTCCTGCCTGGTGGCCGGGCCCTTTCCTCTCCTCTGGTGACCAAGAGCACCACTTATAGACTGGTCATGGGAGTGCAGACGGAGCCTGTAAATCTGGCTTGGCACAGTTTTATCGTGCACTAAGCAACTGGTCAACCCAAGAATGAACTCTACAGTCCTGCCCTCTTCTTGACACCAACTTCAAAGTCCTAGTTACCCAGGCCAGATTTTCCCTGTTGTAAAGTGTAGTATATCACTTATCATAAAATTGCTATATGACTAAAAAAAAAAAAGTTGGAATGATATAGCAGCATTATTTATAGTAGCCCAAAGGTAGAATTAACTCAATGTTCATCAACAGATGAATGGATAAACAAAATGTGGTCTGTCCATACAATGGAATATTATTGTCATTAAAAAAAAAAAAAAAAGAATGAAGTCCTGATATGCATTCCAACACGGATAAACTGTGAAAACATGCTAAGGGAAATAAACCAGACACATAAGACCACATACCACATACGATTCTGTTCACATGAAAATCCAGAACAGGGCAATCCAGAGACAGAAAGTAGGGCTGGCAGTGGAGGTGAAGGGTTGGGAGTTACAGCTAATGGGATTTCTTTTTGAGGGGATGAAAATGTTCTAAAACTGGCCATAAAGATGATTGCCCATATCTGTGAATATACCAACCACCACTGAATAGCACACTTCGAATGGGTGAATTATACGGTATATATATCTCAATAAAGCTGTTTCTAAAAAAGAAAAAAATGGAGGCAATGAAAAATAAATCGAACAACCATTCGTAATCTTACTACCCAAAGATACTATCAACACTTTGAAGAATATCCTTCTGGTACTTCTCTCTGTTTAGTTTTGTTTTTTACCTAACTGTGATCATACAACATGTAGAGTTTTATAGAATTGTCCTGCTTTCCAATGTACATCAGTGAGGATTTAGTTGCTAATAACAGGAGTTGCTGAAGCTATTTTAAGCAAAAGAAGATATAACGAAGACTTTGGTGCTTACAAAATTGTTGGAGGAACTGGAGAAGAGGCCCTAGGCTGGATGTCCAGGGATAGACAACACCATAGAACTGACCACCCAGGGCAGCCGCCAGCACAGCCCATCAGGAAGCTGCTACTGTGACCGCTGAATCTCTTGTTAGCAGTAATAATCCAGGGATCTGAAAACTACCACTGTAACTGCTGGCTTCAGAGCAATGCCATTGGGATCTCCACTAACACTGCCACACACACACACACACACACACACACACACACACACACACACACACCATGCCTATCAATAGAAACTACAAAGGCCATAGAAGTGTGACTTCCACTTTACTTCTCAAATAAGTGTATTTAATTGGCTACACTTAAGTCGTTTCGAGAACCCTAGCTGCAAGGGAGTCTGGAAAATATGATTACCAGCTCTCCAAGATCTGTACTCTAGAAAGGTATTCGTCCATACCATATTGTTATAAACTTTTGAAATATTTTTAAATAGTTGTATAACTTTTCATTGAATATATGTGTATGTGTGTGTGTATATATGTATGTGTGTGTATGTGTGCGTGTGTATGCATGTGTATCTATCTATCTATATATATATATCAACACTTAATTCATCAACTCCCTCCTATTTAGGATTATTTGATATTAAAAATATTACTATTCCAAAGCTTGCTATTATCAACAATGCTTGTGATGATAATGCCAGTAACAACAACTACAGTTTATTGGATACATCCTCCTCCCAGGCCATGTGCTACGCCCTTTATGTTGATATATTTGTCATTCATTTCTTAGTTAATGTTTATAATCTCCTTAAGAGGTAGCCATTATTTTTATTGTACAAATAACAAAACTGAGGGTTAAAGAAATGTCGAATCTAAATTTGACACCGAAGCTTATACCCTTAACCATTACACAAATACGCATGGGGAAGTGGGGGAGGCTTTTTTCCTATTAGAAATGGTTTCCGGAGGACAAATAATCAGAAATAGAATCAGTGGTCCAAAACTGTGAACATTTCTAAGGCCCTTGAAACACATTAGCAGGTCAGACTCTCAAAGTCACTGTAAGGACTGAGAACACCTCAATGGCAGGGACTCGCTTTTGTCATGCAAATGCCTGGCTGGTTGCCTGGCACACTGCGGCCACCAGCCACCCCACGACTATTTCTTAAATGAGTAACAGCGTGTGTGCAAGTAGTTCGTGAGGACTCCCCAATTCAGAGCAGGCCATTCCTTTTGATGGGTAAAATAACAAGCTGCTTCTAAGTTAGTGCAGCTCCGGACTGCATACGAAAGAGTGCCTGGAACATGCAGCCCTCATCTGTTTATTTTAGCCACCTTCGCACGCCAGGTGACTCACCACCCGGGTCCTGAATCGGTTGACTGTGAAGAGGTCTAAAATGACCTAATAAGTCACGCCACAGCTCATCTGAGTGACCATGCACAGGGCTGGAAATCGGGAGCATTTTTTTAGTACTGCAAACTGCTTCCGTTTGGATTATTTACTAAATTGACTGCCCTGTGAAATGATAATTCTCTATATAAATATTAGCAACTGACATATATTGTTATAGTCTACCAGTGCCCGAAGAGTGTTAGACTGTAAACCCAATGCCTTCAGAAGTTGCATTAACCAGTGCAGGCCACTGAAAAGCCTGGACAAGTCCTGCCCTACTTCTCTACCAGGAAGATGAAGCAGCATTCACGCACACATCACGACCGGCCGAAGGAAGGGCTTTGTATGGCTGAAACCTTGGGACCTCCATGTACTGCTTTTCCCTGTAGAGCGGGATGGTTTGTCTTGGGAATTTCACCAAGGTGCCAAACCACCTGATGAAAGCCTATAACCAGGTGGATCTATGTTCCATTGGGTTTTTCTGTCTTTCAGACTGTCACGTGGGGTTTTCAGACTTTATTTCCTCTGAAAGATATCCTTAGGCTTTTAAAGATGCTTCTTTTAGTGCTACCTTACTCATCTCTTGGACTCTTTAAAGGGATGGTTTTATAACTTGCATTTTCAATATAGAAAATACATAGAGAAAACTCAGACGTCCTTTGGCTCACGTCCCCCACGCTGTTGTCACTTCTATGAAGTTGTAGCAGGTCCTGCCAGCACGGTCAGAGGAAAGCTGGGAGGCGGTATTACGCAACCAGATCTTAATGATTTTATTTAATCCACATGGCCTAAAAGCATGCTGGAACATAACTTCCCATAATTTTTCTGGTGATTTCTATGAATCACTTTTTAATTATGAAAAATGTTTTGAGAGACACTCCTGAGAAATTTTACCCACGGTTCCCTCAATGATCATCCCATAAAGTATCTAAAGCGAAGCAGCTTCCACGGCTGACACAGAAAATCAGTTCTAAAGCATGGATCCCTAACAGATCCATCACTCCTCTTTGTTGGGAATGAATCTCATGATTCACACATGCAAAGGGTCACTGAGAAACTCGGGTTAACAAACGTAACTAGAAAAATACATTCACTGTCAAATAATGTTCAAAGGATTTTGTAAAATATGATTTTTTCTAACTTCACTTGGAGTCTTTTTTTTTTCCTTTACTTCTAAGTAGGAGCTTTCTCTGTGTGTCTAAATCGTTGCCTTTCTACCCTCGACAAAAGCTTTTCAGCCTTTACAGTATCGGCTATGCCTACAGCAGGAAGGATCCTTGCCTCTTATCCAGACCATTCGGATATTAAAATGTTTGTGCAAGATACTGAGCGTGAATTTCCATTTCTGGAATTCACTTTAAGAAAATCCAACTGCTGGATCTCACGCAATCAAGCAGGGTCCAAGTTCAGCGCTCTTAAAGAACGGATGGGTGGGGCTGGCCTTGGAATTCCAGCCGCTTTTGCAGGTGCAGCTCTCCTGGCTTCCACTTTCATTTGTCAGAGCTGACAGCTTCTCCAGAAGTGATGATGTAGGCATCAGGCTAAACAGAAATATAAATAAGTCAATTAGCTTTCAATGGAGCACCCCGTATGCTGCCTAAACAGGAGGGTATTTTCTGGTCAATTACTTTGAGTTCAATAAACACTAACATTACTTGTGCCTAGGTAAGAATGGCGCTGATCTTTTTCTTCCCTAGCCCCCAACTGTCCAGGAAGCAAAGCAAATTCACAGATGAACTTTCCAGTACTCACGACCTTGTTTAAACGACTTAAAAGTCGCTTGAAGCTGTCTGCGCGCAGGCGCACGACGTAGAGGGCTCGGACGCGAATGGGATGTGGCGCCTGCGGCCTGGCCAGGAGCGGCCGGTGTCTGTCACCCAACCGCGCTCACCTCCGCGCTTTTCTTCCCCTCCCACGCCTGCTTGTATTTACTCAAAAGTTAGATTTCTCGGTAACCTCTTCCAAGCGTCCACCTCTCCCGTGCCCCACGCCCAGCTCAGGGCCTGGCAATGAGAAGGAACTCTCAGAAACGAAATGCGAGTGAAACCAGGTCTCGCACCGCCATAAGAAAGCGGTTCCACTGGGGTTCCACCTCGCGACGGCGGAAGCTCTCGCAGGACACTCGCACCCCGGCCACCCCTCTCTCCGGTGCAGAGGAAGTCGCCCCAAATATGAAAATCCTCCCGAATATGAAAATCTGCGCGTCCAGCGAGAAATGCGCCGGCAGGATCACCCGCCTGGTTCAAACGCTTCGGGCAGAGACGCACAGAGAAGAATCTCGCAGTCAGATGACTTCATGTCATTGTCTACACCGCAGGGCGAAAAGAGCGTTGGTGCAATAACCAAGCCATCTTGTTCCCGCCCTGTTTCCGGTGCTGGAGTTAGGGCCAAAATTATTCATCAACCGCATAGTTTGAAATGACCCTATAGTTTATCAGCTAAGCGATGCTTTTGCCAGGGAAAATACTCGTGAACTGAGAAAAAATGCTAATTTTAAAAAGTCTTTCGTTGTATACGAAATCGTGCTCTATACCGTGCCTCCTCCGCCGGGATATTTGCTCTGGCACCTGAAGGGAATTCTGTCGCTGAGCAGTTAAAAGGGGGTGAGGGACCACGGAGAGAGTTGGGCCTCCTTCCCCAATCCGGGACCACGCCAGGTGTTCCCCAGCACCATCGCCTCGGACCGCTGGGCCGCCAGCGCGAAAATCTTACTAGGGATCCGGGCTAGCTACAAGCGCGCGAGCTGGGGTTGCCTCAAGGGGCTTTGGAAAAAAGCCTAGATGAAAGCGCCAGCCTCTGATTCCCGCCAGACGTCCCCCCCACCCAAACGCACTGGGTCCCGCTCTCTCCCGCCCGCCCCACGCGGGTCCCAGTACTTTAAAGACACAAACTGGTCACTCTGGTTCCTACTCCCAAATGGAAAAAAATGAGGGCGGGAGCGGGGGAGCGGAGCGGAGGTCGAGCGACGAGAATAGGGGGAGGGTGGGACATGCATACGAGGTCCGCAGGGCCCCACGAACGCGCATGAGCGTCACGCACAACTCCCGACCTGCACAGCAGCACCGCGCACCAACCCGCCCCTGCCAGTGCACAGTGGGGCTCCACGGGGTTCTCTGCCCAGCCCGTGAGCACTGAGCGCGCATGCTATGGACCCTCGCCCCGGCCGTACTGACACCCTTCTCCCAATGCTCGGATCCGCGGTGTTCATTGAGCTCTCCACCCTCCCTGCTCACTGAGTCCCTGGTGCGGCCGTGCGCATTGCGCCCCCTTCCGCCAACTAGCCCCAAACCGGCTTCTAACCCCGCAGGCGGTCCCGAGACTGCGCGCCAAGAGCTGGAACCACACCGCCAAGTACGCCCGGAACGAGCCCCGTCGGGGCCCGCGCCCAGCGCTGGGAGTAGGCGTCACGAGTCCTATCTGTGGAATTAAGAGCTCTGGGGACAGCGAAGCCCGACGCTAAGCCCCTTCTGGCCTCCCGGGTCCCCGAGTGTGGCCCGCAGCTCCCAAGCGAGGTTTCGACCCGAGGCGGGGAGAGCTGGCGAGGGGCCCGGCCACCGCCTCCCTGCCTGGCCGGATGGCACTGCGGACCCCACACCCGAGGGGCTCCGCGGATGCTCAGATCTGAAGTCCGGCTTTGGCACGCCCGCAACCCTGGCGGACAGCCCTCTGCGGTGGGTGTCACCTGCTTCTCCTCCCCCGAGGGAGAGTGTGTTCCCGGAGACACGGGTCTCAGGAAACTCGCCTTCCACGCCGGCCTTTAAAAGAAAAGAAGATATTTAAAAAATAAGAATCCGCACGAAGCGGGAAGATGCTCACGCCCCGAGTTAGGGCGGCGGCGCGCGCCCAGGCGGAGCTGGAGGGGGCCAACCGGGTCCTCCAGCCCGCCCATCCGCCGGCCTTTCCGTAACTTTCTCTATTAAATTTCCAACGAATTAGCATGCCTCTCTTACAGATTTTGTTAGATAAGGAGAAGGTTCCCCAGTGTTCGCTTCGCTTTGCAAATAGTCCCCTTATATTAAATGAAACGAGTTTGTATCTTTAAAGCATGATAATAGTCCACATTATAGTCAGCCTTATATTAGGGGTTGCCTATTACTATTATTACCTGCTAGGAAAATTAAAAAAAAATAAAAAACACTTAAGTCCACCGTGTTCGTGCTCTCTTTGATGTGCAGAAATATTTAACTCTGGTGGATAGGTTTGGTTTGGTTTTGTTTTAAAAGGAAAATTTTTGGTTGACGTTTTATAGAGGCGGTTCCAACACCGTCCTTGATGAATGAGTTGGTTTTCAGATTTCAAGGCGGTGTGTCATTGATAAAACCACTGAGGAGTTTCAGCGCACACACGAGTAAGACTCGTTCAGTTCCAGGGTTTCTAGAGGCGATCTGGGTCTCGCTGGAGGCGAAAAGCGGGGCTTTGCCGGGGAGCGGATGGGTGGCCTCTCCCTGAACTGGGATTTTGAGGCGATGTTTCCGTTAAACCGGGCGGAGAGCCCTGCAGGAGAAGACAGCTGGGGCTCCATGCGGCGGGGTCGTGGACGGGTGGGAAGAGGTGGGCGCGGGACCCTGGCTCCCCTCTTCCGAGGACGCGGATCCCTGGCTGTTCCCGGAGAGCTGATCCTGGGCGCAGGGCGCTGCCCGCGCTCCCGAGAGATCCTCGCCCTCCCCCAAGCCACTGGACGTCTTCGTGCATTGCGAGGGGCGCACAGAAGTCCCCGGCACCTTTTCGGAGATGCGAGAGAAAGCCGGGCCAGGCCTGGGAGGCAGGGAAAGAAAATGCAGAGAAAAGGGCCACCCTCTTACCCCCAGGTAAAATTAGAAGAAACTTTCTGCCGCCGTTTACCCAACCCAGGCGCGGCTTCGGTGGCTCCCTGGGCCTCGCTTGGGGGACCTTGCTAATTACTATAATTAATAACCAGTGGCACTGTTTTTGTTCCCCTAAATTCACTGCCTTGAGGGAGAAGAGAAGTAGGCAGCAGCTAGTTATTTCATTCCTCGGACGGGAGGCATTACTGTGGTCGGCCCCTCGGAGCTCCCAATCCCAGAACCCCAAGGGTGCTGGACAACCAAGTCTGAGGATAAGGATCACACTCCTTTCGGAATCCCCGAGAGCAGAATCAGCCTCGAGCAGGCGCCCTGGGGTGCCTTTGCCGTGCCTGCGCCCTCCAGCCGAACCCGGGCACCCCCGCCAACAGCTGAACCAGATACTAAAGGGTCCCTGGACCCAGAACGCGAAGGTGGAGCTGCCCTAGTTAGTGTCAGGTAATCAGATCGTCAGATGCCCGCAGACCAACCTAAAAGCAAACACTTTCTCAACAGAGTGGCTTCCAGTGAAATAGTTTATTAAAAAACAAACAAAAAGATAACTTCTCACCCTACAGGACTTGGGAACGAGTCCGCAGAGCCAACTACTCTGTTGGCCTCCCCAGGAATGAATCATTACAAATTGTCTTGGGTACCTGTAATGACTTTTAACAACAAATAGTAGTAATGTCGCCTTTGCCTGATCCTTTCTGAGAGTAGTCGTGACCCCAGGAAAAGTTGGTCGTGTCTCCAGGGGGCTTATACAAAGAAAGAAGTGAGAAATCAAGGCACTCTTTAGCAAAGTTAAAACTAAAAAAGGTTCCCAGCCATGAAAACGTCTTAGGGCACTGGGCGCAAGCAGGATTTCTGGAGTAACTAACTTAGTTGCCTGTGTAGACCAGGGCTTATGTATTGAATGGGTTCGAATTTCAGCAGCCCTGCATTTTCTGGGTTTTCCGTTGCCTCGGTTCGCTCCAGCGGTTGAAGTTCTCCTTAAACACCACCTTGGAAGGTCGAAATCCCTTCCCCCAAATCTCGTGCAAGGAATGGGAGGAGTCCTCCCCCAGCCCGCACCCCCTTAGTGGCAGTCCTTTACCCCCTTCTGCCACAGCTGCAGCCTCTCCAGGAGCCCATCCCCGATGGAACATCTGCGCGTTTCTCTCTTGATCTCACGCGAAAGCGGGTTTCCGCGGGGGATGGGCCTCAGGTAGGCGCCGGGCGCGGCCTGGGGAAAAACAGTTGCGGAGCATCTGAAGCGTAAAATCCAAGCAGATGTGGGCCGGCCTGGGCCCGCCCCTTTCCTCTTGGGGCCTCAGTTTCTTCCAGATCAGTTTCCTAATGGAAAATTTCTAAGAGGTGGGGGTTTGTGCAGAGGCGTGCTGGTGAGCCTCCGGGTGCTCCCAAGCGCGCGAAGCAGGACTTGCTGGGGGTGCCGGCACCCGGTAAGCTGGCCGCGCACCCGAAGCTCGCAGCCTCAATGTGTCTGACCCCTCTTCTCACCCGTCTTCTTCTTGCCCCCAACTTCCCATCATTCCAGATTCCGCAGGCTCCTTCCGGGCCAGTAGGGGAACCGCGGGTCCTGGGCAATGCCCAGGTCTTGGGGGTCATTAGTTCCGTCTGAGCCTCTCCCCTGAGTCTCCAAAAGCCCGGTGAGGAGCTGGGCTTTAGGCTCAAACCATAGACCGGGAGGGAGGCACTCCTCGCACCAAGGGCCTGGGAGCAAAAGACACGCTGCCGGTGTCCCAATCGGAGGCCACCGCCAATCGTCCTGATCAGAAATAGCACGTGTTTAGTGCTTTTCCCAGTATATACAGAGCTTCCAGCCTGTGGATGTCTGTCCTGAGTGTCCTCCTGCTCCGAGGTAGAGAGAGAGCCTCGGTATGGTCCCAACCAGGTGGTTCCACACAGACATCGCTATCCTACCCACGTGGGAAACTTCGGGGCCGCTCCCAAGAGCTTTGGGTACTTTCTGTGGGGGAGTGGAAGAGACCAGGCCCGCGGTGTGTGTGTGTGTGTGTGTGTGTGTGTGTGTGTGTGTGTGTGTGTGTGTGTTGAATGCATGTGTTGGGGTACACAATAGGAGGTATACAATGACCGCTCGGGGTAGGCTTTGGGCCTGAAAGTGTCCTACACCACACATCTGCGAGTCTCCAAACATGCCATTATGCTACTTCCGAAACCACGCGATCCGAGCCTGTCTTGCCGATGAGAAAACAACGGCCGCCACTGTGAAAAGCTGGTAGCGAGATCTCAAGTACGCTTTCCCGTAAAATCCTGGAAATTTAGTTCGAGAACAGTTTCTGTCCCTGTTACTCGTCGGGTTTCTCCCACTTCCACTTAGCCATGTTCCTGCGATCCGGGTAATCCCTTTCAAGCCCGGGAGGAATTCTCTCGGGTCCATAATTGAGGATCGGAAATCGTGGGGGCGAGGGAGCGTTAATTCCTCCCGAAGCCAGGGAGGTGCAGGAGCGCACTCGCGGGCGGCCTGCGCTAGTAGCGCCGGGGCCCAGACGACAGTTCCTTTTCTCCTGGAGCCTCTTCTCCCGCAAGCCCAGAGCCGACAACTGTCCACGCTGCCCGGAGCGGATAAGCGGGCGCTGCGTTCGGGCACCGCATACCCGCGCAGCTCGCCCGCGGCGCGGACGCCCTGAGCGCACTACTGGAAACCGAAAAGCGCTCCTGGATCCGAAACCCCAAGGGAAAGTGCTGGTTCCTCCGTGCGCCAGGCGTTTGGGGGTTGCCACCAACATCCAAGCTCTCCTGGCTTTGAGATTTCGGAGCACCAGCCCCGTCCCCTCAAGGCCACGGCTGTAGGTTCGGCAGGGTGCAGGGCCAGATGGGGGCCGAGCCGAGGGAGCTACGACGCCTCCGATCGCCGCCGAACATCCGACCTTCAGAGGGATTCTTGGAAAAGATCAGAAGCGCCTTCTATAGAAAAGGTGTTCGTAGGCCCGGCCCTGCAGGCCCGCGGGAGGGAAGCGGGTACCAGGTCACTGTGGTGCAGTGAGGGCGCAGAGCAGCAGACTCCTCCCGTGCCGGGGGAGAGTGAGGTGACACCAAGAACAGAGATGTTTGCGCCCGGCCCAGTGGCCACCGCGTATCACTACAGGGCGCCGACGTCCAGATCAGGCGCCCCACAGTCCCACAGCCTTACACCCTGCAGCACACGGCCGAGAAACCCCACGACACTGCGCCCCGCATCCACTGCGGCTGCCCTCTGACCCCGCGCCTCCGCACCGCACTCGGAGGGGCCGGACTCCTATAAGAGGTGGGGGTTTGTGCGACCGCCACGGCCAGAATGTAAGGAGGACCCCGCCCCCGGTGGCAGGAGCGGGAGGGGTGGCACTGGAGGAGTCTGGCAGCCCAGTGTGGCCGGGAGAGCGCCGGGACACCCCATGGCGCCGTAACCAACTGCGCCTCCCCACTGAGACTCCCTCTGGTCCCTTCACCTTGGCGCCCACCAGGGCTCGCCCGATGATCCTCGCCCAGTGACCCTCGATCTGAAGCGGCCACCCCAGCCCCGATTCCCTCACATTCCGGCTGCGTTGGGTCGGGCTGTGGGAATCCAGGCTGTGGGCCCAGTTCCCGCGGCCGCCCTGGGAGAAGCCTGGCCGCGAGGCGAGGCTCCCCGGCCCCCTCCCTCCGTCGGGTCCGCGCGTCCCCGCGACCTCCCGCCCCCCAATCTCATTTCTCTCCCGCGTTTCGAGGACAGAAAGTGCAGAAGGGTCACTTCCGAGCCTTTCCCGCGCCCTTTCCTGAGGCGTCTGGGGCGGGGGTTGGGGGATGGCGGGGATGTTTTTCTCCTACTCTGGCCTCCCCGCATTCGGCTCTCCCGCCTGTGAAGTGGGGTGGACGAGGACGCGGGACCAGCGCGAGCTCGGAGGGGTCCGTCCTTCCTCGCAGGGCACTTGGCCGGCGGGTCGCGCTGCCTCCCTTGCCTGGTGAGCCACAGAGGAGGTCTTGGCATCCCTTCCTTCCTCCCTCCTACGCTCCTCCCCGCCTCTCAACCCAGCGCCCTGATCCCGCAACCCGCCCGCCGGAGCCGGTGATATATCCAGTTTCAAATTTAGTTTGCTCTCCTATATCCTTTAATAAAATTTCTTTTTTATTTCTAAACAAACTTGGCACCATGTGTCCGATTCGGACAGCGTGGGATGCTCTGCCCAGCATGTGGGCTCAGCGGCCGGGTCGACGCCCGAAGGCGGGTCCGCCATAAACAAACGCAGCTCGGTCGCACGTGGGCCGTGGAGCTGCTGCGCCTCGCGACAGATCTCAGGCTCCGGGCGCCGTGTCTCCAGGCACAAGGAACCGCCGGGGAGGGCAGGAGAGCGCGCCCGGGCCGGGCAGTAGCCGCCCCCGTCCCGGCTCCCCTCCACTCCCTTCCCGCTCCATGGCTCCGCGGCCGCCGCCTCCCTCCAGCCTGGAGGGGCCTCGGGGCAGCGGGTCCGGACACGCAGTCAAGGACTAAACGGCACCGCCGCTTCCTCGCTGGCCCCTTTCTGTCGCCTACGGAAAGCTGAGGTGCGGGAGAAAGCAGGAGGAAGGAAGAGCGAAGAGAAACGAGTGGGAAGTCGGTGCTCTGGTCACCGCGGGACAGTCCAGCCCGGAGGAGGCTGCGCCGGCGACGGCGGCGGGCGGAGCGCGGGGCGGCGCC